TTTATTTATTTATTTAAGCCTGGCCCAGCCTCAGCTGTTGTGGAAATTGTAGGGAATGAATCAGCAGATGAACTCTGTATCTCCCTCTCTATCGCTCTGCCTTTCAACAAATAGATAATTATTTAAAAGGAAAATCTCATGTAAAATAGGCTTAAAATGTAAGTTTCCTTTGATGTGAAAAAGGTTAGAAACCCATGTACATGAGAGGTCTTCAAAGAGTTTGTGAAAATGCATGTTATGGTCTGAGAAGGCTAGGCTCCCAGCACATTTAGACTCCAAAGTTGTAAGCTAACGGTACTAAAGAGTGTGGTGAGAGCGTGTCTGAAGGTGGAGCCTATGCGCAGGGGTTGAGTTGCATTAGGTCACGAGGGAGCCGTGATCACAGTGGCTTCACAAGAACTGACGGTACAGACCTGGGCTGAATGAGCTCCCTGTTTCCCTGCTTCCTGACTCATCAAGCAATTCTCCCTCCACGACCATCATCAGATGCCAACCAATGGGAACCTCCAAGACCACGAGCTGGATTAAACCTCGTTTCCTCCTAAGTAGCTTCTGTAAGGTATTTTGGTTACAGTGACCAAACACCATCTAACACAATGCATGTCATGAAAACAATTATGCAAGGATTTTTTTTTTGCACCAAAATGAATGTATGTTTTAATTCCACTTTGAAGTATCCATGTATCGCCTTCTATTTTAAAATATGACCATCAACACTCTGGTTCTGGCTTTGCTATCCAGGTGCTTCACCCACACATGGCTACAGGGCAGATACATGCTCCAGGGATTTCCTCAGCATCACAAGAGCAATGGTACAACATTTGAAAGAGCCTATCTGTATCTTTCTACTAGGACTTGGAATCTTGGCCACCTCTGGTGAAGATGACAAAGGCTTTGCTTTCATGCATCATGAACAGGACCGTGCGCATGTGATTATGACAGCCATCACTCAACCCTTGGCTTTCACAAAGCACCCTCCAATCCATTAGGGAAAGGAAGTGTTGTGGCAGAAACAGCCATCACGCACCAAGAGTTGGACAGCCTCCCAAGATGCACCATCCTTCTAGTTGTCAGTGACCTTGACTGTAAAAGGAAACTAACCACCTCTGCCTCACTTGCTGGCTAGAGTGTCTCCACTGCTAATGTGGGGACTAGTGGGCACCACCATGCGCAATCACCAGAGCTCATGGCCACCTGGTGGACAGCAGGGCTTCCCTCTGGACTCACAGTCCCCTACCCTGGAATTTTTAAGGAAGAAAACTAAATTGGAATGACAACTTCTTACCTACATACTCTGAACTTTTTTTAAACTCATAGCTATAAAAATATTCCATTGTTCTCCCTATTGGGTTGTAGAGTGATCAGAGCAAGTTAATGAGACCAGGTAGCTTGGCAACTAACATCAAGACCTCTGCAGCAACAAAGACCCATGCTGGAGTCCCAGCCCTACCACTTCCCAGTCAAAGGACTCTAGGGAAGCTACTGACCCTTTAGAAACTTAAGCTTGCTTGCCAGCAAGATGGGGTCAACACAGTACCTGCTTCAAAGGGCATAATAAGAATTAACAAGGTCAAGAACCTAACATATACCTCATTAACTCTCCAAATCCATGGTGACTTTTATCATCATTCAGTATTCCCTCCCATTACCTGAGATCCACTCTTGAATGAAATCAGCTAACAATATGCAAGAAACCAAAACAGGGTTACCATGAACATGCACAGAAGCAGGGAGCTTTCATTCTCAGGTGTTCATGCCCAGTTCTTCACTGACTGATGCTGCTGGCTTTGCACACAATACTAAAGGCATTCATGGCACTGGGAACTTGATGGGCCACTGAGATACCAACATCTTCACTGGATTTATTATCCTATTGATTCCTCAAAGTCTCACAAAGTACATACAAACATCACCTCCACTTTACAGATGAGAAAATGGAGGCTAAGCAACCTGCCCTGTGTGAAAGTGATCAAGTAGGAGGCTCAGGATGCAAACTCAAGCCAGCCAATCAGATGCCAGCCCACACCCTCAATCAATACCACTGCTTTGCCTCCATGCTCTGCTGGTGATTCCATCTCTGGCTCCTAGTGGACCAGAAAAACAAGAAAAAGATGTGGGTAATGGACGAGTTGCAGGTACAGGGACAGATGATACATTCATACAAAAAAAAGGAAAGGGATAAAAAGTTCCTTGAGAAAACTTCTGCAGGCTACAGTGCTTTTCCCAAGTGGGTCAGAGCACTGAACATGCTGATAGTCTTAAAAGACCTTGACAGTACCGCGCACAACTATTCCTTCAAGGAAAAATGAATTGTAGGCTTGGGAAGAGAATGTGTAGGTGATACAGCAAAAGGTTAGATTCCTGGTATGCATCTGCCTTAGCAGTTTTAGAAGGGAGTGCTTGGGTTGGACACCTACGTGTGGTTCTGGACTCCAGGAACTAATGTAGGCCCTGGAAGGCAGCAGTGACAGCTCCCGTGACTGGATCCCTGCCACCTTCATGGGAGACCCAGCTCAAGTCCCTGGCTCCCACCTTCAGCCCCTGGCTCAGCCCAGGGCTTCTGTTCATATTGGGAAAGCGATCCACAGATGGGAGCACCTTGTCTTTCTCTTTTTCTTCCTTCTCTTTTCTTCCCTTCCTTTCTGCCTATCAAACAACGCACCTGCCCACCCCCCCCCCAAAAAAGGAAACACCTTTTTTTAATTGACAGATCTTTGTGAGAGTTCACCTACATGGAACACTTTACAACAATATCACAAATTGCTTTAAAATATATATATGCAATTAAAACTAAGAATTAAATGCCAACACTGAATAGTTAACTTTTTTCTTTTATTTTTTTTTTCTTTCATGGATTTGAAAGGAAAACAGAGATCTCTTATCTTCCACTTTATTCCCCAAATCCCCACAGAGCCATCACTGAGCCAGGCCAAAGCTGGAATCTTAGCACTTCATCTGTTTGTCTTAGCAGGGATCCGAGCATTTGAGCCATCACCTGCTGCCTCCCCAGATGCACGTTAGCAGGGAGATGAAATCAGGTGCAGAGATGGAACTAGAATCCAGGCACTCTGACCCAGATGCAGTAATTCTGGGCGGCACCTTAATGGCTGTTCCAAATGCCTGCACATGGGCAACCTGAGTTCATGAATCCTCAGCTTTGCTTGGTTGAACCCTGTCTCCGTCGAGTCTTGACCAAAGCAATGCTTCAGCCCACTCTGCACCTCACACTGACGGCCGTGTGCTATTAGCTAGCCCGACACTCAAAAGTTCACAAATCGCATCAGATAGTTTAAGCATATTGAAATAAAGGATACAAACATCAAGGGTGACAAGGCATGGTGGGGATGGGGCTTCCCTGGCACAGCCAGTCATCAGTTCAGGCCTTTCACCTCTTTCCATGGCTAACGCTTTGGCCGGCACCAGACAAGGCACATATGGGAAGTCAAGAGATTGGCTTTCAACTGGAAGCCACACACAGATCGCTGTTTATAACCCTAGACAGCTCCTGCCTGAAGTTAGTTTGCACTATGCATCTCATACCCCATTCATTCTCCAGGCTCCCTAGGAACAGCACTGCAGTCTGAAGCTTAGATTCTAGCTCCCTAAAACACATTGCCAACCTGAAAAGATTTTAAAATAGCCATTCCCAATTGATAAAATCAGAACAGCACAATCTTTAAACTACTCTTTGAGCAAGAGGAAACCTCCAGGAATAAGGGCAAAACACCACACAGGTGGCCCATGGTTGCCCATCAGCAGTGCCCACATGGCCCAAAAGCTGCTCCCCCTGGAAATATGAGAGATAATCTTGTTCCCCTAGCAAATAAAAAAAATACAGGATACTCAGTTACATGTGACTTTAAGGTTTGTATCTTTTCCATCATTAAAAATTTCTACATGGAATTTAGGAGAGGCTCATATTAAAAACCCATTTGCTGTTTACATGACATGCAAATTTAACTGGGGGGTTCAGGCATTTTATCTGACTCACCTCCTCTGGGCCCCAATCCCTGAGGGGACTTGGAATGGGAGAGAAGTGGGGGCATCAAGATGAGCCCAGACCTGGCAGGCTCACTCCCTTCCTCTAAGTCTGCCAGTGCTTTGTTAGGCCATGTCTTCTCTGATTCCTGCAATCAAGTCATCCTCCCCAACACGCTGCCACCCTGACCTCCTCCAACAGGGGGCACACCGTGGAGATGCTGCAGACTTGTCAGGACTGGCTCGCTTCCACAGCTTCGTGTGGGCCTTTGGTTTTCCAAGAAAAGCTGCAAATAGGCTTTGGAAATGCTCTGCATTGGAGATGTCCTTTTATTTCTGTGCCCACAGACATACCACTATCATCAACACTCACTGCAGATTTCATGATGCACCTCAGAGTTTGTTCTCTGGGGGCATAACCTCAAGCTATGAGTTAAAGGGACAGGTGAATTACAACTTCAACTAGCCGAGCCAAGGATATGTGGACTATACTCCCAGGTACTACCTTGTTAGTGCTAATGAATGCGTTGTACAGTAGTCTTTAGTGAACCACCCTATATAATCATATGGATTTAATAAAATCAGGAAGAAAAGAGCTCCTGGTTACATGCTTCCAACTGTGCTTGTGACAAAGCAGCCATAAAATGCAAGGAAATACACAAGAACCGCTGACGCAGTAATAAAAGAGAGGATGAGATTAATGATGCTATAATACAATCTGCTCTTATTTGTCACAAAGAAAATTAATTTTTGGAGATATTCTATTCAACTTTGTAACCTTTCGCAGCTGTATTTTTCTTGCAACTTTTTTTTATCCTATCCTCCTCTCCTTTAAGCACAAGATGCTAGTTCTAAGCATGGCTTGTGGCAGATGATCCCTGCTCTGGAAGGAGCCAAGGAAGGGGTACTCAGGGAACCAAAGTGATTGATTGCTCACCGCAATTCACAGCTCTCCACTGCCTGCTCAAACAGCCACTGTTAAGAATCCAAACTACAACTTCTGAAAGCATAAGATGTGTTACCTTCCAGAGCAAGGCACCGGGGTGGGCTGGACGACCAGATAAGGTTGTGCAAACACTCGAGATACTCGGACCCCTCGAGTTTGAATCCAGGGAAGCAGCGATAAGCGATCACAGTCCCCACTGGGAAGGAAGTCTGGAACTCGGAGATGTTCACGTAGCCGTTAGAAGAGGCTAGAGGTCTCAGGCAACCTGTGATGGGGCAAGCAAAAGGGACAGGCTTCACTTGGGCACCTGTGCATTTTTATTAAACAGCCAAATCCAGCACTGTGACCCTCCAGAACTGGCCCACTGGCCTTGCTTCTAAGGACAGCAGCACCTGGGTCTTCAAATGCCACCTCCTTGTTCTGTCTACCTACCTTACAGGGATTGGCTTTTGAATTTGCAAATGGTATCAAGAGGGCTGGATAAGTGGTTAGGAGTGGTCAGTTTGTGATGTGGACCAGCAGCACACTAGCAGGGTGAGACCAGCTCTGACTGTATGCTAAAACACACAGATGGCTCAGCTGCCCAGAGTCCAGGGTCTGGGCACAACCTGGGCCACACTATCTCTTTTAAAACTCTCAACCAATTCTGATGGGCCATCGGAGTTGAAAACCACCAAGGAGCTAAGAGAAGGAAGAGCCCAATGGCCTTGGTCACTGTTGGGGGTGGCTTGCAAGGATCTTCCAATCCCCTGGAGCAGGCACCTGTGTGGTAATGCTAGCAACCTTCTGAAAAGCCAACTGTGTGTCACAATACACAGACAAGGAGCGCTGTAGCAGAGTGGCTTTCAAATCTAAGAATGACCCACAGGGCTCCTTGGAATATGGCCTGATGGGATGGAGCCTCCAGGGTTTCTTTTCAGTAGGTCTTGGTGCAGGCTGAGAATCTGGGAGCTTGCACTGCATGGCAGAGAAGCACATGTGGAGCCCCAGCAGTAAGCATAGAAGGCTGCCCGCTGCCCCAGGACAAGTGGGCCCTGCACCTCAGCTCCCTTTTCTATAAAGCATCGGCCTCTGCACCCAGACACCCAGGCAGCCCAGTAGAACATTCCCAGTGGCACAGACTGTGCTGTGCAGCAACCGCAGGGACTGTGGAAACTTGTCCTGGTTTCAGTGAGCTTGCTGGAGGGAACGACCCTCTTCCATGGAATAAGGAACTGTGTATGAGGTCAGGGAGCTGGAAGGTCAACACCTTGCTTCTCCCAAGTCACAGATTGGCTATATCCCTTGCACAGCAGTGGGCGAACCCTGTGCAGAGCTGACTCAGATGCTGTGATGAACTTCAAACAGATCTCACAGCAACAGCCTCCATGGCACATGGAATACCCCAGGCACATGGTCTCTGTACTGGAGGGAGGTACTCACAGTCAGGGGCTGGCAGACCCCAACCCACCGCTGCCCTGATGCAGCCCACATCCATGATAGACAACACCAGAAATGGCATGGAGCTCAACTACCTTCTTAGATGGCCCTGCAGCCTTGGATGATTGCTTTTTTTTCTTAGCTAAAAATGGACAATGCTCATAGTCCAAGTGAGGTGTGTTAGGGGTGGGGGAGGTAAATACATAGGATCCATTTCTGAGTGAAGACACAAGCCCAGGAGCTGGGAGGGTTCTGCTGAATTGCAGCTTTGATCCCAGAAGAGCTGCAGCTCCAGGCAAGCAAGTGGGCAAACCGGTCTGGCCGGTTTCAGGGAGCCAGAGGGAACCAACACTGTTTCCCCAAAGTTCCCACAAAAAAGAAAACAAAAGGAGGATAAGGGGTGTGTGTGTGTGTGTGTGTGTGTGTGTGTGTGCGCGCGCGCGCGTGCACTGGGGACAGCCCCTTACTCCTAGCTCCAAAGACGGCAGGGGCTGTGTATGTGCATCTCTCATGGTTGGAGACAGCCCATCCTAAATATAGCAGCAGAAGCTGCCTTCAACTCAATACTTCAACATGATTTCCATTTGCACTTGTAGATAACAGAGATGAAGCTGTCTGGGCCTTAGGCCCCCAGATCTATAGGTGCAAATGAAAGTGACGGAGTGAAATGTCACTCCAAGGGCCAATTATACTTCACCCAGGGGCTCAAAGAGGAATCAGGCTGGCTGAGCTGATTCCTCATTTCCCCGCCCCTCCCCCTATGCTGTGCAAGGGTGGGAAGAGGTGAGGGGCAGGGCAGGGCCATAGCCACTCCCGGGATGGGAGGGCACAGGATGCTGAATAGGTTTAAAAGAAAGGCTAGGAAAGTGAACCAGCTGATGAAAGATCTTCTGTCACTCATCTCTGTGTAAATCAACCTTTTCAATGAAAAGAAATAAATCTTTAAAAGAAAACAACAAAAAAGAAAGGCTAGGGTTTGCACTGAGGTTTGAAAACACACAACTTTCAAGACTAGCAAGGGGAGGAGCCAGCATTGTGGTGAAGTGGGGAAAGCAGCTGCCTGTGGTGCTGCCATCCCATATGTGCACCAGTGCGAGTTTCAGCTGCTCCAGTTGTGATCCAGTTCCCTGCTAATGGCTCAGGAAAGCAATGGAAGCTGGCCCAACTATGGGAGAGGAAGAAGAAGCTTCTGGCTCCTGGCTTCAGCCTGGGCCGACTCTGGTTGTTGTGGCTATCTGGGAAGTAAATTAGTGAATGGAGGCTCCCCACCTCTAATGCTTTCACATAAATAAACAAACCTTTTAAAAAAAATAATGGTTAGGCAACCCTTTCGCTGCAGTTGTTGCCAGTACTGCCCTGCAGGTCTAGATACACCGTGACTCAATTGGCATTTGGATGCACATGGGGGAGTTGACAGCAAGCCTGGATCCCACTTTATCAGGGTGAGGTGCCAAGATGTGCACCTCCAGGGAAACAGGACTCCTCAGTGACAGCAGGAGACCTAGAGTGGGTGGGGGATACCAAGCCGCATGCAGCAAAGCCAGGGGTCACGAGAGGTCACCAGACAGGAAAGACTGCCCGGCCTGAGAGCAGCTGCTGCTTTGGACAATCTTAAGGAATGTAAACAGTCGCATGTCTCCTTTTATAAAGGAGCACAGAACCTGCTGAGCCTCTCTGGCTGCTCCTGGGGTGTCAGGCAGGCAGTGGAAGACCAGGCTGCCCCTCTGTCCTTAGCTCCTGACAAGGAGACCCACAGAACGGTGTCAGAGCCTGCAATTTCCCTGAGCGTGGAGTGCACACCCATCTCACTTGAACTTGCCAAAGCTGTGGGAGCAAAGGAAACTGCTTTCCTTCTCCCTCAAGTTATGAATTATGCATTGGCATTTTCCAAGGACCATGTCAAAATAAATAAATAAAACCAGAATTAATGTGAACTTGGAACTTATTTTGACAGAGCCTTCTGTGATGGCTCCAGCATATTTAAGAAAAAATGTAAAGGGATAAATTGTCACTGTGTGATTTGGATGAAATTTTATTATTTTTCTGCTCTTCATGCATTATGAAAAAGGATAACACAATTAACAGAAACGTGCCTCTGTGGGATCAGCTTTAACTATATTCTCATCACTAGTGATGTAAGCACAAATGTCCTGTTAGTTCCATGAACTACATGAGTGTAACCATTCCTCACTGTGCTCAGAGCCCGGGTACCAGTCTCCTCATTCTCAAAGAACTGTTCAATTCTTAGCAGACACATCCAATACACAAAACAGTGAGGTTTTCTCCATGTATGCTTTTAAACTGGGTATGGACCCTGAGCAGAGGGCAAGCAGTAATGACAGTGATGCCAAGAATGCAGATTCAGCCACCACGGTGAAGACACAGCAGGGCAATGTTCCCTCTCAATGAGAACACATGGGAAGAGACCAGCCGAGACCTGTGGCTTTCATGCTGTACCTTGACAGATGGGGAGGTTATCCCAGGTCCCGTCATCGCGACACAGTGAGGCTGTGTTGTACAGATCGGGGTAACGGATCTTGAATCCTTCATGACAAGCGATGATTAGCTTATCTCCATGTCTGTAGGTTTTGTTATGGATCTCAGCATCTTCAATTTGTGGGATGCGGCAATCTGCAACATGGGCAAGCAAGATGTGAGCTTTGGCATTTAAAATGTTTAACAACTTCCCGAGAAAGGTCTTTTTCTCGGGCCTGGTCTCAGCCAATACAGCCATCTGATAGGTGTCCTATCTGTCAGTAGGCTCAGGTGTTAAGCAGCATAGCCCGTGAAGCAGCTCAGACACAGGGACTCAGAGTGTGAGGATCCAAAAACCCAGGGTACACCTGCCAGCCACACGTCATACTGAGCAGGGGACTTTATGAACATCTTTGGAAATGTGAAAATGAGAGCTGGGGGTGAACTGGATGCTCCAGGTTGTGCCAGACCTTGCTGTGTTTGTACACAGCCTAGTGGGGCCACCTCTGGTAGTCCATCCCCACATCTAGTGAGAAAACATGCTTCGCAGAGCCAAATGGGGTCAGATAAGTGGGAGGGTATGCAGTGGCTGGGTTTGCTATCAGCATTTTCTATCTACTTGACTTGGTTTTGGAAAGATAGTAAAGTAGAACAGTACATGAGGCTCAGAGCAGGTGGCTGCTTCCTAAATGGTGTCAGAGCAGAGTGCCTGAGTCCTGGAGGACAAGAGCAAGGCTGGCTTCAGAAGATCACTGTAGCAATGCAAGCCCACCCAACACAATGTCAGACAGGTGAATAAAATGAACAAAAAATAATGATCTACTCCTATCTACTCCCAACTTACTGGACAGGCCACTTCACTCCTTGCTGCCAAGTGGGATCATATTTCTCTGGCCACTCCCGTCCTAAACACTGCATAGCCAATCCCATCTGCTTTAAGTCACATTGACCATGATGCATTTCTCCCCATTTCTGATGGTCTCATCTGCTTAACGGTTGTGATTTGATATATACTGACATGCCTGGCCTTTAAATGGGTTGGGTTCCAAAAATCATCATTCCTTGATTTTTTAAAAACAAAATCACCAAAACGTCATTTTGTCAATGAGAAATTTTTCAACATTATACAAGATTGCTGGTTTCTCACCCACTACCCAAAGCCTACTGAATCTACAATATGAATGTTGTCCTATTAACAGCCTTCCAGTTGCTCAAGGAACCCTCAGCTCCCAGGCACTGAGTCTGGCAACTCTGGGATAAGGAGAAAGGAAGGAAGGAGCAGTGGCTGGTGGGTACAGAGCCCCTCTGACTGCAAACGTTAGCAGCTTTAAAAGGGGAAATTTCCAGAGACAGGAAGAAGGAGTAAAAGGGGTTTCCTGGGAGTGGCAGAGAGAACCAGCAACAGCAGATTTCTGAAAAGAGCATTTTCCAATGTTGGGAAAGATTCGGAAAGGAGGAGGCCTCCCTGTGAGAGGAGGGCTTGGCAGCTGGGGACTGGAGAGGTGATGGACACTGCATTGGTCTGAAGTCAAATCGCTGGGAGCTCAGGTCTGTCTCTGCTGTGGTTTCTATTACCACCCTGAGCTTCAGAGCACACACCATGCTGCTGCCATGTCTGGTGTTCCTTCTGCACCTGCAGCTCCGGGCATGCACCAGCTCAGAAGAGATGTGCAGAATGCGGTGAATGTGCAGCCTTTGGGAGCTGAGAACTGCTCAATCTTACCTGGCATTAGTGCTACCTCTTAGTTTTATGTTTCAGGCTGTGTGTGTGTGTGTGTGTGTGTGTGTGTGTGTGTGTGTGTGTGTGTGTGTGTGTAAAGCATTCTTCTGACTCTTTATCCTTAACCAACAGTTTTTCTGCTAGAGTAGCTGAAATTTCCTTAATCAATCCCAGAACAATTCCAACTATAGTCACAAGGTTCTTGACATCTCTTTTCATTGCCTTCTTCTGCATGGAAAATATGCACTGCATTTCTTCAATGGCATGATGCAGATAATATTCACAGTAAATAAAAACACATGTATCAGGGCATCTGTCTGAAAAATCTTGGCTATACATAGGTCCATGGCAGTTACTTATATGTCTAAACAACTATTCTCACAATTGACTTCAAACTTGCACAGGAATTAACTTGAATATTCAGGAGGTGAAGCCGTGCAGACTAAAAGTCCATGGCCCAATGCCATTTGGGACGACACAGACACACAGACACTGGCTGGCCAGAAGCCATGCTCCCAAGGGTGACTTCTCAGCATTGAGGTGTACAATACAGAATGTTCTCAATTCTAATCAGAGCTCCATCTTTCCACAAGGAGGAGTGGGGGCTGTTACAGGGCCCATGAGTCAGGGAACAAAGGCAGTTCACAGCTGTCTGACTCTTGGGGCTTCTAACCCTACAGCCACTCTCTTAAGGACTAGCTCATGATGTGGGAAGAACCCGCAGAGTGAGGAGTTAGAGTTCAAGGCCCATCACAACAGAGCGGTCAGCAGGGGCTGTGCCCCAGGAGAAATGGCAAAGCTAACACAGACCAGCTCTAACCAGAATCTACACCTTGGCAGGAGGTAACACCACCTACAGTGTCTCTGACTTTTTGTTTCTAGCACTTGGCATGGAACTCTCTCACCACAAGGGAGTGTGATAGGAAGAAAGGGTATCTGGAAGAAGAGTGTGGCCTCTGTGTGGCCGCAAGCCCTTCTATCCATGGAGAGAAAGAATCCAAGGGGGGTTGGCCTGATAACTTAACAAGTTAATCCTCTCCCTGCAAGCATCTGCATCCCATATTGGCACTGGCTCATGTCCCAGTTGCTTCACTTCCCATCCAGCTCCCTGCTTGTGGCCTGGGAAAGCAGTAGAGGATGGCTCAAAACCCTGGGACCCTGTGCCCACACTGAAGAGCCCACACCGCTCCTGGCTCCTGGTTTCAGATTGGTTCAGCTCTGGTCATTACAGACAGTTGGGGAATGAACCAGCAGGTGGAAGATCTTTCTGTCTCTCCTTCTCTCTCTGTAGATCTGCCTTTCCAATTTAAAAAAAAATCTCAAAAAAAAAAACCAAATAAATAAAAATTCAGGGTCTTTCATGCCTGAAAATAGATATACAATCTTCCCCAAATTTAAAGGTTCAAATAGAAACAATATAATTTTTTCTAGCATACATTCATTGAGTCCATAAAGATAATTTTTAAAGGCTACTTCAAACATACTATCACCAAGGACCACAAAACATATTTACTGCTATCTGATTTTGTCATGTAGAATCTGTTCAATACCTAGAACTATGGCTATGAGGGGTAAACGGGCACTTGAAGGATATCAAAGCTTCTGCTCCAGAACTCATCTTTCACCAGCCCATCACATCATTGCCTTTGTATCCTGTATTAGAAACAATGGGATTTCAATAGAACAATGAAAAGAGGAGGAAAAGATCCTGGGGCAGTACACACACACACACACACACACACACACACACACACACACACACACGTATTCTGAACCGTAAACGAATTCATTGTGTTAGTCAACACAGCAGGGTCTTAAGGGATAGACCAGGAAGAGTAAAAGGCACTCTCAAGAATGTTCGTGACCCATTGTATTTGCTTTTTAAAAAACAATGTTAGTAATGGATTGGATATGCGGTACAATGCTGAAGACACTTCTTGAGATGTCCAGCTCCCACCATATCAGAGTGCCTGTGACTTTAAATTTCAGCTCTACTTCAGATTCCAGCTTCCTGCTAATGCATACCCAGGGAAGCAGCAGGTGATGGCTCAAGTACCTAATGGCCTTGAGTCAATGCCAACCACGTGGAAGAATGCGACTGACATTTGGGCTCCATGCTTCGGCTCCAGATCCAGCTAGTGTATGCAACAAGGAGTGAACTCTCAGATAGGAAATCACCATCTCTGTTAATCTTTCTCTCTCTGCCTTGCAAATAAATAAAACATTTATAAAAAGTTATTTCATTTATATGAAAGGCAAAGTTATTATGAGAAGGAGAAACAGAGTTAGAGAGGATCTTCCACCTGCTGGTTCATTCCCTAAACCGCAACAGCGGGCAGGGCTGAGCCAGGCCAAAGCCAGGAGCCTGGGACTTTACCCTGGTCTCCCCTGAGGGTGGCAAGGGCCCAAGTACTTGTCCATCCTCTGCTGCTTTCCTAGGCACATTAACATGGAGCTGGACTGGAAGTAGAGCAGTCAGGTCTTAATCCAGCATTCATATGGCATGCCAGCGTCATAGGCGGCAGCTTAACCTGCAGAGTCTTAACACCAGCCTCATCAAAACATTAAGAAATATTAGTTATGTATGAAAGATTCTGGTTCCTTAAAAACATCAGGCTTTGATATCAATATTCCCAGTATGCTTCATAATATGCACTCAGAGGGTCACCAACCACAGGACTGCATGAGAGGCTCAAAGGCCTTGCCACAAAGAACTCAATTCAACTTGAATTAAACCACTATCTGCAAAGCTGATTTATTCCCCCAGCTGTTCCATTCCACATCCAGCTACTGGATTACTGGGCACTGATCCTAGGCCCCAGATCTTCTAGGTGCTAGAGACAGAATTTAAGAATCTTACTTTTAGTCCTTGCTTGCAGAGAGACTGCTCATGGTGAAGTTAAGTGATAAACGAGCTGGAAAATAGCAGGTAAAATTCACAGCTATGATGAACACATGACAAGGTGACATGGGAGGGACTGACTCCGGGACTTATATAATTTGGGCAGACAGGAAAGGGGCCTCTTGAGGAAATGACATTTATTAAGCTGGGACTTGAATGACATGAAAAACCCAATTAAGTGCAGCTCTGGGAGAAGAACATTTTAGGCAGCAGGAACACCCAGTGCAAAGGCCAGGAAAGCTTGGTGTCCTCAGAAACACAAAACACCTATGTGTTTGCAACACAGGGATCAGGTGGGAGAAGGAATGGTCAGGGGACTGGGTTCTCCTAGAGTGACAGGAGCCAGTGGAGCTCACGAGGCATGGACCCTCCCATGTCTGCCTCTGTATCCTCAAAGGGTTTGCTGTATGCATGAAGGGTGACCCTGTCCCAAGACAGCTACAGCCATGGCTCAACTTCGTGCTTCAGCCCGGAACGCCTTGCTTGAGCTCTGGGCTCTGGTAGGCAAGATTTGCTAAGGAGATAACTCAGGGT